AAAAAATGCGGGCTAGCCCCGCGCTCTTCTTTAGCACCGTGAAATGCATAGGACTTAGCCATGTTAAGTCAAATCATACCAACGGGAATTCCCCGAGCTGTATTCGTACGTAGGAAAGCGATTAATATGGGTTTCGACTTCGATAAAAATTGAAGTCATCGGGCAGACCGACCTATTTGGAATACGCTCCCCATCCAACTACGTACTGCTTTTGAGCGTGACGTCCACAGTCTAAGAAGGCGATCCTATGGGGACTGACAATCAGAAACTTCGATGCTTTCTCAGGCAAAGCTGAAGATATTGCAAGGGCTATGGGTAGATTTTTGCCATCATCAGTTTGTGTTGTCTTCAATTTAGACTGCATTCCTGACATGCGAAATCAACTTTGCAGGTTACATATTAGCTTTATCAACACAGCACTTTAGACCGCTATCGTGGAAAAAATGTGTAAATGTGTAAACGAATATAAAGCTTTTTTTATTTCAGTTGCCGAAACGCGATAAACGCATATAAAAAGGTGTCCGTAAAAGTGAATATATTCCGACAGGGTTCTTTTAGTTTTGCAAATTAATTTTTGATCACTGCTTTTCAGAAAAATGTTGCATCCTATTTAAGACTTGTATAAAAGAAGCTTGAACCATTTACATTTTGTTAAATAAATCAATTCAATTTAGTTTAAAGATACTATCGAAAATAGATGCTTTTTTCTAGCTGTTTTCCTATTCATTTTAGATCATTATGGGGATTACAGCGGTCCAGTAATGAGAAGTATGGGTCAGCAGTTTACCATTAACTTGTGTCAATCAACACTGGAACTCATCTAACCAGTCCTTTACACAATAGGGTATGTGTAGGGAATAAAGTGGATAGTGAACTATTTTTCGTACATGCGCTGGTGAGAGCTGAGCTAAGCCTTATATTCGGAAACAAGTTGCGTTTCAGAATCTTTCACTAAGATGATTTTGCAAACGATTACATATGGCAGTAATAAGCTTGCTTTTAGTAAATCTTATGAGATTTCCCTCTAGCAGTCGCTTTTACCTACGTTCTATACCGATATTCCTCGTTTGGAGACAATGAAGAAAATATTCGTAAATATAAGTTCCGGTTAAGCAGACCTTGCGACATCTTAAATCCTAGCGCAAAACCGTTAACTCTTTTAGGTCAATAATCCCCTTGGCAATACAAGGGCCCATAAAGACGCCAAAACCCTTTTAGTGAAAAATTGTTTTGCTTAATTTTGGGTATGCCATTTCACTCAGAGGCGTTAACCAAAGAAAAACTTTAGAAAAGGCTTTAACAAACAATAACCGTAGACCACAATCTTACTTGGATATTTTGTAACTTTAACATGCCTGTTCAGGTACTTGTGATTGGGAAGTTACTTACACCCATAATGAAATAGAGATGTTAATGCAGGCAAAATTATCTATCAATTCAGGCCTCTTTTCTTTCAATGAATTAAATTACTATCGTGTTCACATAAATAACTGTAACATACCATCCCCCATCTTGAACTTTTTTATGGGCAAGTAGTTGATTCCGAAGCCAAGACTGGCAATAATGATGCCTACCCAGCCAGCCGTAGGTGAGTTCATTCCCGAAGGCACAGAGTCGGTCGAATTCATGATATCAGAGGAGTAGGGTAAACGTATGGGAGCTTGCAACGAAATGTATGTCAATAGTTGATGGGTTCCAGGGCTACATATCACTTATATATACTGCCGTAGGTGTCACATTGTTAAGGGCGTTGCCCAAGGGTTGTATAAACATACAGGCATGTAAACACATTTGCATTCACCCTTGCACACACCTGTACACGCACACGGACAATAGCATTTCGAACACCTCCCTTTTCGGATTGGTCGCAGTTTGATGGATTCACGTCCCGAAGTCACTCGCAAAACTGCCTTGCAAGCTACTCTTGTACGGAGGTAGAAGGAGAGTGGCGGCATAGCCCACAAAATTATGCAGCCTTGTCTGCTCACACTCACTCTAAAGTCGGATCAAATTTTACCCGGGTCAAGAATGATGTACGGAATGTTAACTTAAATTAAGTGAATAGGAAAAGCATTTAGAGGTTTTGGCAGCTGATTTAAAAATGAATTGCGCTGTCATTCAGGATGCCAACAAGATTCGTTATAAATTTATGTGTCTTTGGAAATATAAATTAGACTTTTACATATGCTATGTGGAGCAAAGCATAGCAACTTCAACAATAAAATGTTCGGGAAGGAGAGTCGATTACGAACAGAAGCATGCAGACCTCATGAAAGTAAAAAATGTTAGAAAAGCGAAAAACTTTCGCAAATCTTCTGAAGCTTCTTAAATGTCACAATTTATTCGAAAAAAGTAGAACATGGTGTAGAAATGGAACAAAACGCAGCCATAATCTGATACTAAACAAAATTGGTCAGATTTTCTGTGACCTAACTTAATTATTTGATTTAAGTGTGCTTACCACGGCTACAAGTTTCATATCAGTAGACCGCGTTTCATGTTTCAAATATCAGAACTCAGCTTGATAACACAAGTGTCAGTTAATTGAAAACTCAGATTAATGCAGCAAATTGATTACAGGTGTTCTGAGGTATTCCTTGGAGAAATCTTAAACTATACCATTTAAAATATGAGAAAACTGGAAGGAAATAAGAATACCGAATATTCTTTCAACGAATCAGTTAAAGTTTAATGGTAGAAAATCACAGTCTGTAAATAAGATCTTCAAAAACTAGTATGTTCGTCTTCTGTCTTGTCTTTCACATAATGCGAGACATGGAACAAATTGATCAGTCGGAAGTTCGGAGTACCTCGAAACGGTTTCTGTCTGTTCACAATATGGAGCTTTGGTGAAAATAACGCTAGCAGATTAATCTGTACAAGCTGAAAGTTCAGCCAGGTTCAGGAAGGTAAAAATGTTTTTTCTATTAGT